TTGGGGTCTAAACAGGGTCTTTGTTGTCAGATAGCTCACCTGCTCCTGCTGGTGGCTTGCAGCCCTCACCCTAATCCCCAGGGTGCAGGTGCTGACGATGTTTTCCATCAGTGTGATTATGACTTCCTCTGCAAAGAAAGGGCACAAACTAAACGTCTGTTAAGGGGGGGGGGGGGAAAGTCTGTCTTCCTAACTCTCCTTTAAAAAGGACACAAAGGCATTTAAAAAAAAATTCAGGAGTGGAGCAGGCACTGTTGATTGATTCCCAAGCAGTCAATAGCATGTCATCCCCTGAAGGAAGTGATCTGCATTCTGGACAGAATCTACTTTTCGAGAGAGAATCTGAGGAAGAAGATGCTTTTCACCTAAAACTGCCACCGTGCTTATCTACCTGCTACTCTGTAGGGAAAATAATGAGAAATAAAAATAGAACTCATTAAATCTTAACTTCAGCTCAGTCTTTTCTCGTACATTTGTGGCAAATTAGCATTAAAAACGTTTCTTTATTGTGGTTACACATGGAGAAGTGTGTTGTCACATGTATGAGAAACAGAAAGGGACATCAATCAATTAAGGTTTCAAGCCAGAAGCTTTTATTATGCGCAAGGCATTGTCAGAAAATAACTCGGGGACTTGCCAAACCTGACGCAGTTAGAATTTGATGAGTCCCATGCTATCTTCTCCCCTGGCCTTCCTTTGAATCTGAACATTTCACCATTTGCAAAGAAGGCATTCCAGAAAGTCCCTGTTAAAATGGTCATCTGTTACCCTTCTGAGCCTCTGGGACTAGCTCTAAGGGGAAAGTCACAAGGGCGAGACACATTTTGGAATGGGAGGAAAAGCAGAAATAGTTTCATGGGCTTCTGGCCTGGAGGTGTGTCTTAGCAGCCAGGGTTAGGGTAATACAAAACTCAGAGGTGGGAAAATGTTTGTAGTCACTGGCCTCTGATACAGAACTGAAAGAAAGTGGAATCACATCCCACTCTAATTTGTGGGCTTATTTGTAAAGCCAGGTGATCTTGCTCTATCTTGGCCATATCGACAGTTGCCCAGAATTTTGAATGGTGCCTCAAAGCTACATCCAGTGGGTGGCGTATGCCTTGGGTTCTGCAGGAAACCCTGTGTCTGGACAGAACTAGTTCTGGCAGGTGAGTCTTCAATGGCTGCACAGAGCTGGACACGAGTGAATTGGCTCAGTACTAGTACTCACTCTCAAGACAGGGGCTCACCACTCTGCTGCTAAGAAGCAAGCTGGTGGTCAGCCTTCACACAGCCCGCCTAAGAGAAGCACCCAGACTCATCAGGGAGGATTCCTGGAAGGGAATTCACAACAGTCGGGAGCACTGTGATGTCTCCACCCTTCCTTGGGAGGGGGGCGGTGGGGAGACGGACCACAGGAGAACCACTCACAGATGCAGCTGTTCCCAGCGGGGAGGATGGTATCTGAAATGTACCCATCCCACCCTGCTGAGCGGCGGAAACGCCTGGATGACCGAGGCACAGAGGAGGGTGCCTGACCACCACCGGAGCAGCCCGAGGCAAGGGGCTGGCTTGGGTGGGGCGAGGCAGCAGCACCAGTCCTCCTGCCTCTTACTGGTGCGTGGATGGTTAAGTTTTCGGTAACCTGAATGGGTGCTGGGGAAGGCAGTCTGGAGGGCACTGTCCGGAGCACCGCTGGAAGGTGGGAGGGGCGAGAGCAAGAGCTGAGAGGATTGGGAGAGTTCAGTCAGAAAGTCCCAAAGCTGCACCAGGGAATGATGCGGAGGTTTTGCACAGGGTTCTCTGAACAATCATAAAACATCCCACACAAGAGCTAGTAGTTGGATTCCTGCCATAACAAAGAACCAAGAGATTATTTTTTTAAATATTGATTTATTTATTTGCTGTAGTGGGTCTTGGTTGTGGCATGTGGTCTCTAATTGTCCAACCCAGTCAGGAAATCGGTGTTTTCAAACTGAGGCACTGGAGAAGATTCTGGAGAGCCCCTTGGACTGCACGGAGATTAAACCAGCCCATCCTAAAGGAAATCAACCCTGAATATTCATTGGAAGGACTGATGCTGAAGCTGAAGCTCCAATACTTTGGCCACCTGATGCAAAGAGCCAACTCATTGGAAAAGACCCTGATACTGGGAAAGATTGAAGGCAGGAAAAGGAGATGACAGAGGATGAGATGGTTGGATGGCATCCCCAACTCAATAGACATGGGTTTGAGCAAACTCTGGGAGATTGTGAAGGACAGGGAAGACTGGTGTGTGCAGTCCACGGGGTCGCAGAGTCGGACACAACTGACCGACTGAACAAAAGTTCTTAAAAGAGCTAACAAACCCCAACAGAAGAGAACTGCAAGGCCAGTTAACCAGGGAGAGGCGAATCCCAGTCTCCAGGGAAGTCATGCAGAAGTCATGTAACCTGCCCAAACTCTTGAATCATCCCAGGTTAAGGGTCAGGTTGGTTCTTTCCCCACCTTGGCCCCAACGTCCCTTCTGCTCATCCTGCTTTTTCATAACCCTTGAAATAAGTAAAACCATTCTTAGCCTGAGGCACTTTCCTGACCCTCAAAGAAATCAAGCAGTACCTAAGGCAGCCGCAGCACCCTGCTGGGTGGTCTGAGCAGATCCACCACTACAGATGTCCAGCTGTTCCTTTCTTCACCAACTGTAGATTTTCAAAAGCTGATCAGGAAATAACTAATATGAAAAAGCAAAAGATCTTACAAGACTTCCAAGGGCAGTCGAGTAGTTGTTAATAGCACAGGTTGTGAAGTGAGACACACCAAGGACAAGTGTCCTGGCTCCACTACCTAGGACACCTGTGACCTTGGGCAAGCCAACAGTCCTCATTAGCATCCCAGGGTTGTTACGTAACTGTGCACAGCACTCAGTAATGGCAGGGATTTAAAAGCAAAGGGCAAATGGTAAACAGTAAAAGTCTTCCCAGGTGGCACTAATGGTAAAGAACCCACCAGCCAATGCCAAGAGACACGGGTTTGCTCCCTGTACCAGGAAGATCCCCTGGAGGAGGAATGGCAACCCACTCCAGTATTCTTGCCTGGAGAATCCCATGGACAGAGGAGTCTGGAGAGTTACAGTCCATGGGGTCGCAAAGAGTCAGACATGACTGAAGTGACTCAGCACACACACAATCAATGAGTAAGAAAATTAATCAATTCCCCATGAAAAAAATCTTTGCAGTGAGCTTTAAAACACAAAAGCACCTCTGGATATCTGTAAAAGATGGCGTAACCATTCATTAGACCATAGTATAAAAAATTCAGCTCCAAGAAAATAACTTTTTTGACTTCTAAATCAAATTACAATGTGGATACACTTACATGCAATGCAACTAGCAAATGAAATGAAAACAGGTTAGACACCACTAGGTGCTGCTCAAGAAGTGACTTGCCTTTGTGAAATGGAGTATCTACTGCCATATCTAGAAAGGAGGTCACAGCCATCTGTGATTCAGGCCCTCCACATGTTCATTTCTGAGCCCAAAGGACCCGAAAAGGGAGAACGATGCCCCCAGATAGCTGAGATGCATATGAAAGGAATGAGTTCAGTGAGCCCAGATGCTTGCATCTTCCCATACAGAGAAGAGCGCTAAACATGATAGCTGGTTTTCCTTAATTAACAGTAATCTTTGATGTTCAGACTACCTGCCTTTCTTTGGTACAAACTTCTGTATAACCTGACTCCTTCCCCCATGGCCTCCTTGGAGCAGTTTCTCAGGGCTACTTGAGAGTCTGCCTCCCAGGCTTGAAGTTCTAAAAATTCCCACGGAATAAAACCACTCTCTGCTTTCAGGTTGTGACTATTTTTAGTTGACACTTTTCATTCCCATCAAGTTTCTTAACTCTTTAATCTGCCCTTTTCTTTTTAAGAAGAAAAACTGAAACATGAGAAATGCTTACTGAGTCCATCCGTTTCCAAAATAGAACATATATACCAAAATAGAACATATATAAACAAAGGCCATACTGCATACCAAAGGTAAAACAAATACTTTTATTGCACATTTATAAAATCTGCATAGTTGTAGCAAGTCTTTGACCCTCCCACAATTCCCCTGGCAATCTTTAAAATTTGGTTAAAACATAATACCCAATCTGGAGCCTTTTAAAAATGGTCAATGGGATATTTCTCTCTCTACATATACATATATATATATTCTTTTTCTTTTTACAAACCCACATCCCCTATTTTTTAAAAGGAAAAAAGGGGGTGGGGCATTGAAATGTTCTTCTGGACCAGCAGGAGCCTTAGCCATGTGTTTTAGCCATTTTCAGATGCTAGAAAAATTTACCTTTAAATAGTTTACAACATTGAAAATGTGATCTTTAGTCAAGTTTCACAATGCTGCTATTCCATCTGATGTCCTTAATGCTTTCTCCCTTCTTTCACTCAGGACTGAGTATGAGGTTTTCTGGTTTATTTAAAAATATAAAATAAAATAGAAGAAAGAAAGGAGAGGCAGCTTTCTTTTGACTTTTCAGCATCTTACTGCCACATGACCTTATGTTCTACCCACATGTGAAAGGGTGGCGGCTCATCAACAACCCATTTTTTCATCTCCTCCCTTGCAGTTTTTTTTAATGTCATCTGTATCTGATAAAATGAGTAGCTGTTCATACAGTTCAGGTCCTGATGAATCACCTTTCTAGTCTGCTGTCAAAAATTCTTATGCCTGAAGGATACTCTGAGGCTCAGAAAAGCCCAGGCTGTCTTGTAGGGACAAGAGACATTTCAGGGCTTCTGCCACAAATCAACGCTTTAATACACTGGTTCCTGCCTTTTTTTCGTGAAATCACTTCTATGATTCTGTACCTAAAAAGTGCAGTTTTATTTTCAATCCTTCTTTACACACACAGCATAGTTAGGATCTGGATCTGAGTCTCACTTTCCCACCTAATCCCTTTCATAGGGTAAACACTGTGACAACAGACTTCTGTGCAACAGACGGTCAACCAAAGACCAGGCTGGGTCTTGAACACGTGGGGGCTTATTTCACTGTCACAGTTGACACTCCTTGAATTGACTCCATGACAGCTGCAAATCGGCTACAAAGGTCATAGGGAGAATTGGGTCGAATAGTTGGAGGCTCCTTTAAGACAATGATTTCTGCAGAAGGATCTAGAAGTCTGGGTAGAAATTCCCCTAAGCACAGCTGCAGATTTTCTGTGGAGGGAAAATGGATGGTTAGTATACAGCTAAATAAATCTCTTGAGTTTAAAACTAGTAAGTCTGTAACAATGTCCAAGTTCAAAGCACTGTTCGGGTCAGCTAATGAAAAATGGCGATTCCTTTAGACCAAATCAAGCGCAAAGACCTATTTGCCGATTACAGCAAAGTTTTAGGTCATTGTTTTAAGTCATCTGACATGCGCCAGGATAACACTATATACTCACTGCATTATGGACATGTCTTTTAATCAATCATCCTTTAAAATTTGAGAAAGTGCCATAAATATAATGTGCTGTAAACATACTACTGCCATAAAGCTAACACTGGTCTTATCCTTCAATTAAAATATACCAGTGTGTACATGGCATTAAGTAAAGCTATAACGTCACACATAGTTTAAACAAAAACTGAAAACATTAAAATGAAATTCTTAGCTACTAATTATTATAGATTTTTTCAATATATATCATAAACTTGAACACTGACAAATCAACAGAATATCTTTACATCAGTAAGCAACAAAGAGGCTTCATATTAGGATACATAACAATTTTCTAAGTCAACCAAACTCGCCTAAAAATATCTAGTTTTAGGCTCCCTCTCCAAAATGCTTTGGACAGGCACAAACATCCCCTTTACTAATTTATTAACCTTGAAGGCATCATAGTTAATAAAATGTTTATGTCTTGCAACTTCATGTCATAGGAAAATTTAATTATGGCACTGACAGGTAATCAAGCAGCAAAAACAGATTTTTTTAATATTTAAACTTACAAAGTTCAAGTTCAGATTTTGGCAGATGGCAAAGTAACAGCAGTCTAACACTGCTGGAGAGCAGTGATTTTTTTCAAATAGCGCTGTGTGGCCGGCTGTGGAGGTGATTCAGCCATCAGAGGAGATAGGGGAGGCTAAGGACCGGGGTTCAGATAAGATAAGGGAGGCTAAGGACCGGGGTTCAGGGTCCCCTTTCTTGTTTCAGCACAGCAGGTACACTTGCATGCATTTATATGCTAAGGGATTCCAATCCCTTAAAAAGGTGTGACAACCAGTGCTGCAGAGTGAGTCCACTGTCATTTCCAGAACTCTCAAGGGTCTCAGAAATTACTGGCAACGGCAACAAACACCACACCTGCGATATCCTGCCCCAGGTAAGAGCACCAGTGGTTTCTCATGACCTCAATGGCATCCAGGTCATCCTTGGAGATGTCGTTATTAATGATAAGGTGAATGCAGGGAATGATCAACTCATTCATCACATTAATGCCCTCTGTTACAGAGTGCTCGTCGTTTGTTTCAAAGAGAGAAGCTGCTTTGGCATTCAACTCCTATGGATAAAACAGTGGGAAAAAAAGTCTCAAAAAATATTTAAACAAGTAGTTCCCAAACTTCACTGTACATTGGAACTGCCTGGGGGTCCTTAAAAACCACAGATACCCCAACCCACTCATGCCAGTTTGATTGGTATTTGGATGACCTAGACACTGGGATTTTTTTTTTTAATGCCCCCAAGGTGATCTGAATGCAGCAAAGCCTCTGACCAAGTGGCCTAAACTTATAAGTCAAGGTCATATTTAACACCTGCTTCTATCAAAAGACCTATTCTGTGGTTCTCAGTCTTCACCAAAAATCAAAAATCGCCTGCAGAGAGAAGGTGCTGCCCAGGCCCCTCACCAGGAGACTGGTTTAACCGTCTGGGAGAGGCCTGGGCCACCAACAGGTGAAAGCCCCTTAGGTGACTCTGACACACACTGGGAGCTGACAGCCAGAGGCGGAAAGAAGCCAAATCCTCATTAGTGCCTTCCTGTGGCAGCTGAGCAGGACGCTCAAACTGTAATCTCTATTTGGTGATTTAAAAAATAAAAGCATTTGTGGTCCATCAAATCCACAAGGCTCCCTTTTCAGCTTCAAAGTGCCCTGCTATATCTACAACAGACACAGGAATCCTAGTATAATCAGAAAATGAAGTTTCTGAGATACACACGTCACAACTTAATCTCCATTTGGCATTAACAAAAGGTAGTGGCAGAAATGCGGGCCTCACTCCTGCTGGAGGGTGATCCTGCTGGGTGGCAGGAGGCCTAAGGCAAGCTTAGCCTGAGGTTAAGCCGCCTCTGCAGCTTTCTGAAGGACAAGCACCTGGAAGGAGCCCGGGGAGGCGGACAGACCATGGGGTGCCTGCCCACGCAGCCGCCAAGCGCAAAACGACCGGGCGAGATCACCTGTGGTTCATGGCAAGGATGTTAACGGGACGGCAGGACCAGTCCTTACAGTTCAAAGCTTTTAAAAACTGGAGTCTCTTTAGACATCACGAAAGCTTCTCATCTACTAGCTTACTAGTTAGGGAACATAGAAAACACACATTTACTAGATGCTTTCTATGTGCCAGGCACAGAAAAGAACAAGTCTGACTAAGAAGAGGATCTATGCTCAAGGAACTCACAATCTAGCAGAGAGGTGTGTGACATAAACTGTAATGCGGCACACACAAAAGGCACCAGAAAGCGGAGATGCGGTTCTCATCTAACTTCTATCAGGGTGGAAGAAGAATGATGTTCACTGAAGTAACTTCATCTGTTTCAATGTAAAACTACTCTTGAGGGTTTAGAACAATCTAAAACCTGCAGGAGGGTTTTTTTTATGTTGTATTTCTTCCTGGCTTCTAGGAACAGAGGTAAACACAATAAAACACAAAAATCGTCAGGCTCTATAAAGAGTACACACCAGAAGGCATTTTCTTCGGTATAAAGCTATCACCGACTCCTTCACGCCCCGCTGGGGCCCCTTCATCAGCAGAGCGGCATTGCTTTGGTAGGCGTACACCAGGTAGGAAAGCGCCTCTTGGTACCTGAGAAAGTTATTGATGAAAACAGCTCAGTGCTCCTTCCGCAAACCTAGGGCTTAGTCCCCAGCACGCGCTAATACAAGAATGTAACCGGCTGCAGGGATGGAAAAGTCTTAAGCATGGAGGCAGCACGGTGCAGGTGGAAAAGCCTGAGAGCCAAAGACCACAGGTAGCCTCAGCTCCTCTGCAAACTGGCCGAGAAGCTCAAGGCAAATCATGGCACTTCCCTGGACTGTTTCTCCCAACTCTACAACAAGGAAGTGGACGAGAGGCTCACTACAGTCCACACTGACTCTAAAATTCATTTTCTGAGTTCATTTTAATTTATCACAAAGAAAATTGGCCATTATATCTCTTGACCGAGAAATCTATCATTATATAAAAGATGAAGATACACGTGTGATGTTCAGTGCAAAAGTGAAGTAGAACACTGAAAACTGTAGAGACACAGGGTGTGTGTGGAAGGGGCTGTGGTCCTCGGAGATCCTGGTGGGCATCCACAACCAATACGCTCGGTAACATGAGACGCCACTTACTTTCCTTTCTGATAGAGTTCCAGGCCTGTCAGGAGATACACAGACACCTTTCGGAACAAACTGTAATCTTCATGCCACTTCTGAAAAGGAATGACAGCCATTCATGATTATGACCAAAACTGCTTCTACCCTTTTCCCCACAGCAAGCTTCAAACTCAGTACTAATACTTATGGAGCTCATATGGCCCGGCACAAAAACAGGAGACACAAAAGCTTTCAGATAATAAAGTACTGGACATTTATGATAAAAGCCTACCGCTGACCTTAATTTCCCGTGTCCTGTTCCTGCTGCCGAGGAACAGAAATATTCGTTTCACATGAGCTTTAGAATTTCGGATCTTAACTTCCAACACCCACGTCAAAGTCATTCAGCTCTGGTCTGAATGAATGGCCTCCCGCGTTCAGAGGAAACCATTCAGATGAGGGAAGACAGAAGGTCAAGGCCGCTCCAATCTCAGGAACAACACTAAGCTTGCCTGGGGGTGGGGGGGGTGGGGGGCAGGGGCGGCGAGTAGGACATAGCGAGGTGGCACTCAACAGTGTTGTACCTACATGATGTGTTTCGTGTTTGGAAATTTGTAGTCATGCACTGCATTTTAATAAATAAAAATTTTAGTCTTGAATACAGAAATATTAGAAAACTGTATATTATTTAAAGCAAACTAAAACCGTGAAATCACGAATTGTATTGCCTAGGACAAGGCTAAAGTGAGTATTTAAGGGAAATGAAGTGCTGATCAGTTGAAGAGAATAATGGAATAAAGAAACTGGCCATTCAAAGGGTAAGAAAAGATCATTCTGACTCAGTTTTTTTTGAGAGGGTGTGGGAGTCACTTGGCGATAATATAAAATTGTTTGCTTTATAGCTTATATATAAAATTTATTAATATTACTACAAGTTGTACAAATTGGATTATAAATATATTTGTGCATATGTATAATTTACTATACGAGGAGGAACATATTGGAGAAGCAAATGGCAACCCATTCCAGTATTCTTGCCTGGAGAATCCCATGGACAGAGGAGTCTGGCAGGCTACAGTCCATACGGTCACAAAGAGTTGGACACGACTGAAGTGACTTAGCACGCACGAAAAGAACATATAAATGACAGCCTCAAATGTTTCAACAGCTTGGCCTCCTTACATTTTTATTTGTTTTTTGTTAGGGTTGCCTTAGAAATTAACATGTTTGGTTTGTAGATGTAAAGAGAAGACCTCACCTTGTACTCTTCCATATTCATGTCATCTGGACCAATCTCCTTCAGTTTTGCTTGAGCCACCTTCATAATACTGATCGACCTGTGGACAAAGTTAAGAAAGTAATGAGTTTCCCCTTCAGAGGACTTAGTCAAGATAGAAGGAAGGGTGGTTCACTGAAGCACTCCCTTCTCACCTTTCATCATAGCTAAGATTTTTATCAGCAAATTGTTCCAGAAGGGTCCGCTCTACTACCCTTTTAGGTGCTTCGTTTTGGAAGAAGTAGACAAGCACGTGCTGAAGACGAGGATCACTGTGAGAGGTGGGGGTCTCCTTGGCGAGCTGATAGAGCCTGGAGTACTCTTCATGGAATGCCTATTGAAGACAGAATTGGTAGTCAGAAAAGGGGGCATGGTGAGCTTGTACACATAGAAACCATTGCCTAAGGCCTAAGGAGGTTTTCATCACTCTAAGACAACTTCTAAGACGTTCTTATTGAGGAATAACAGAGGCAACTGGAACCTATAATCTCTTTGCCTTTCAAAAAGGACAAAACTCCTCCGGCACCAAAGACATCCTGTACTCACAAGAAAATAATTTTCCTCATACAGTGCTAAGAAAACAAAAGTTTTAATTGTTTCAGGCATTATCTTTGAGTATCAAGGATCTGAAATTTAAAAATCCAAATAAATGCAATTTCTTTAAGAATCTTAAATTTTATTCAAGCACCTTAAAAAGCATGGCCTACTTTCTTATATTATGGCCTCCAAATTACAAAGGCGAGGTCTCATTCACAGCTTTATTAACAGGCATCTCCTAAGAACAAGGAGGTTACCCCTGGCCAGGTGGGCCACAGAGCGCCAAGGCCGCGTTAGTGCCCCGAGGGGAGGAGCCGCCAGTGCCGTGGAACGGCTGGGATGTTAGTTGGGCAGCGAAGGGAGTTTTATGTTTTACCTCAATGAAAAACACTCTTTTAGCATCTGATATGATCACTGCCCCATGATTATGATCCCTGTGGTACAAGGATTAGGATTTAATCCTAATTCTAATTAAATTTAAAAAACAAGACAAAAACAGAGATACCTTAATAAGCCCTGCTTCAGACCCATCTCGGTCAAAGGTCTGACGGGCTTTAGCTATGGCCAGGATGACCCCTTGCATGGCAGGGCTCAGCATCACCTACCACAAGAGGGCACAAAACACAGAGAGAAAGCAGAGAAGAAAGGTTCAGAAGAAGACTGTGAGGGAAGGGTGAGCAGACTGCCGCAGGGAAGCAGAGCGGCGTGCCCCCTGGCCAGCAGCCACCTCGGGGGCAGGCTCACACGCCCCGTTCAACACTAGCAGCCCCTGGCCCTCTGCACGACCACAAGACTGTGCCCATGACAATCTACCCCTACAGACTCTAATTTGGCAGATGAATAAAGGTGTATGTCTAAAAATACCTACGATATGGCACTGCTACACAATCAAGGTAAATTATAGCTCTCAGAGGGGAAAGGTCTGAGGTGAGAGTACCAATTGCGTTCTGAGGTTTGGGTGTCCATCCTAAATACACCAGTCTTTGAGTTTTACCTAGGTGAACAGCACATTTCAAACAGTCTGAAACCAGCAGGTACACAAATAGGACCTTATAAGGTGAAAACCTTGCAATGATTAAAAAAAAATAACCATCCCACAGAAACCTGAGGACAGGATTCATGACTGTTAGTGTGTGGGGACAACTGCAAAGGACGCAGACAGCAAACAACCTGGAAGTCTATAGCTTCAGAGTTAAAACAAGGTCAACTCACATATGACCTGCTCACTAGACAACTGAAATTTTCATATTTGGAGGAAATGCAATGGACTAATATTACCAAAGACTCCTAATTTAAAGGGCAATTTTTTGTTCAGGATATCACATGGAACTAAATTCTACCTTTCTGAGCCACTGCCTCGTAAGGGCAGGTCTGAGTACAGACCTGCTGGCAGCAGTGTAGGATGGTGACTAAGGCCCTCTCGCCCACCTCCTGTGTCAAGGAGAAAATACTGTTGCCGAACACCTTACACAGCTATACTCAGTCACGTGAGAAGGAAATACAAGACTGACAACAGACAGCTAGACCCTGACTCATCTCTGTACCTCCTCATCATATCCATCTGCATCAGATCTAACCAGAATCCTTCCCACACTGGGAATCTCGACTTCAGAGACCTCAGCATTAGGCTGGGCAGCAGACTCTGCGTCACGAGCCTGTGGGGGCTGCTCTGCCTGCTCTGCAAGCTTTGTTTCCGGGGGCATGGGCTTCTTGGGTTCAGCTTCCTTAAGCTGTGGCAGCAGAATGGAGAGAAAGAGTAAGAAAAAAACAGAAATAAAGAGGGATTGGTTAAACGCAGCAGATACAGAATAACAGAAATGTGAGAAAACTGCGGCACTTACTGCCGGAAGCCCACCCCTCTAGATTCCGGACTTCCAGGCCCCCTCACCTCACTCAGGGCAGCTTCCACGCCACTGTTCTCATAGGCATGTGCTGTGTTTGCAATCGCCTGGGCAGTCTGCTCCTTCACGATCACAGCGTGCTCGGAGGACAGGCATCGAGCCCCGTGGGAAGAGGCCACTGAAGATTCTGAGAAACAAGAGCAGGGAGGAATCAGCATCTGGTAATAAAACCACTAGAACACTCTACAAGGCAAGCAGGACTGGATACAAAGTTTAATGTGCACACCTTCTAACTAACCTTTTGAAAAAATTACATAAATTTCCCCTGCAAACTAGTGGCTAAAAGAAATAGCTACTTCAGCAAGGAGTCACTGATGATTCTGTAAAGTTTAATGTGCTCCCAATGTTGTCATATTTCTTCATGGCAAAAAGGTTCCTATAAACAACTATCCGTTAGGAAGATCACCTTTACAGAATAGTTTTCATAAAATCTACCTATTAATCTTACAATAGTTTGTCCTGCAACCTTGGAAATAAGCTAGCACTAAATATAGTGAAAGTACAGGTAGCTAGCTGCTAATCTTTCTGCTGTTGGTTCTACCCAGCAGAGCTGACTGTCTAGAGCCACAAGCTAGGCTGTCAGGTTGTGCGATACCAACTCTAGTTCCACTGTGCAGAGCATGGCATGGCTCACTCAGAGGAAGTGCATGGGGCTGGCTATGGGAGTGCAGCGTGAACTCCCCCAAGTCACTGGCATAAATGCCCTGCTCAGATACCTTGTGATGGAGAGAAGTCCTGTGATGCTGAGCTGGTGGAAGATTCCATCTGAGGAATTTTGCAAGACTGCTCTTCTTCCCATTCCTCCACTTCCTGCTCAAACCTCCAGTTATCTTCCTGAATGTAATGCTTAAGTTCAACAGACAGGGCTTCCACTTCTCCTGACATCTGATCTAATTCATTCGGGGCCGCCTCTGAGGAAGAATAAAGACACAGTTAAAACAGTCCCACCAAGCAAAAGGCCTCAAGGAAACCAAAGCTCCTTTCCAGAAAGAAAGACACTTTGTCTTTTTTCTTCCTTTTAATGAAAAATACACACCTAATCCATCCACTGTCTGAAGTACTGACAATATCAGGCCAATAGTCACGGTACCCCAGTAACAGTGGCTGGCATATTGGAAGGGAGGGACACTGAATATTTGTTAAATCAATCAATCAATGATAATAAGTGAGGATTTGGAGTAGAGGCCAATCACAGAGTAGCAAGAACAAACCAAATGTTTCTTGGGAATTCAGAAAATCATTAGATTCAGTGGAAATTTCAAGATAAACAGTTTTATCAGTGTAAACAATGCCCCTATTACTGATAAGAATATCCATCTCCAGGACTTCCCTGGTGGTCCAGTGGTTGGGACTCTGAGCTTCCACTGTAGGAGACGTGGGTTTGATCCCTGGTCAGGGAAATAAGATCCCACAAGCAATATAGTGTGGTCAAAAAATAATAATAATAAATTGAATTAAATAACAAAGTATATCCATCTCAAGATGGCTGAAAATGAAAACCAAGACGTTTATACTGCCTTAAGTTTCACATAATCAAGTGCTACCACAAAGCAAAGGGATACAAAGGTTAGATCAATAGGTCACTATTACCTGGGGTTCACTAAAGGCTATGATGAAAAATGACAAGGCTATCAATGACATATTCAATCTCATTTCCAACCCTACAACCGAAACAAATCATAAAACCCTACAGCAGAGTAGCACATCCACATACTGGTTGCTGTTAACCAGCCTTTTCACTAAACGACAGTTCTCACTTTTGTCTATTTCTATAGATGAGCCACACCCGTTATAACAAGGCCCCTGTATGCCACCCACAGCGAGCACAATCGTTTGTACAGAAACTCCCACGAGCAGCTGTTCCTGCCCTCACACTGCAAACATGCAATTAGGACGATCAGTTACTGTGAAGTGAGCATTCTCTCCATCCCCTACCCACCAAGCACACGAGAAAGACCACTTGCTGCCCAGACAAAATGCCTTATAGGTTTCCTTATGCAATACCGTGAAGTTTGAACACTAAAAGAAGACGCCTTCCATGATCTCAGATGTGAAAGAAGAAAGAGTAATACACATGGAAAACAGCATAGAATCTGCAACCAGAGTATTTACTGGCTGTATGACAAGTACAGAACCTCAGCTGGAAAATGTGGGTGATAAGAATTTCTGCCCTGCCTCCTCTGTGTTAGAGTTAATAAGCTATTAGAGAAATAAAGCTTAAAGTATGCAATAAGGAGGGAAGTACCAGCATAAATGATAATTATGATTATCATTAGCATTAGTAGCAGTATTATGAGAAGTCTGAAACCGCTGAGGCAAATCCATTTATAAAATCTAGCTATTCTCCAAAAAGTGCAAAAAATACGTGCATAGGAGTATCACTAACAAAGGGAAAAACTAGAGGCAACTTAAAAGTCTATCAACAGGAGGCTAGTTTAATAAATTATATACATATCCCATGCAATGGAATTATTTTACAGTTGTTAATAGGAATAAGTTGGTTCTATTTATAAAAATAGAGAGATTGCTAAGAAAAACAATGAAAAAGATGCCAAACAGAATGGAAAAATATCCCATTTGGTGGGGAAAAAATGAGGTATAGGAAACCCAGCATCTGCACAGAACATTTCTAGAAGACTACATTAGGAGCCTAAGAATGAATACTTGTTGGACTCAAGGAAGTAGGAAAGCAAACTTATTTTTCTTTTTTCTTCTCTTTTATACTATTTGTATTTCTTAAACACATCATTCAGTTCAGTTCAGTTGCTCAGTCATGTCTGACTCTTTGCGACTCCATGAATCGCAGCACGCCAGGCCTCCCTGTCCATCACCAACTCCTGGAGTTTACCCAAACTCATGTCCATCTAATAAATCCAAGTTTTTTTTTTTTAAACTACAAGATTGTTCCCTTCCCTGAGAAGTACAAAGTCTCTGCAAGCCTGGCCTCTGCTCATAGTTTTTACCTGCACTGAAGTGGGGCAGCTTGTCATTAATGTACATCAGGCAGTACGCACTAACGTTTCTCTGGCCCCCGTAGGAATCTCGCTCAAGTTCCTCCCAGGAGGACTCGGTAACAGAGATGTCGTTGTACTTGAGCCAGACTTGCCGCGGCTGATTGTATACGTAGGCCCAGTAGTGTCCCGCGTTTGCCTGTCCTTCGTGAACCAGCACTGCATGCAAGCGATAAGGCACCTGCAAGTCAGAGGGCGTTCCCCCTGTCAGCTTAAAGCAAATCAGCTGACAGGGGTTGAGACGATGAAAATTCCAAAGGATGCCCAACCATAAGACGTAAGACAACTGCCCGTTAACACTTTTGTTTGATGTAGGGTTCACATCAACAAAACATCTTGTTGATTCAAGATGCATTAAAAACAACACAGCCTTGGAATCTCCCATTCCTGAAGCTTTAAAACCAGATGATTCTCTTTAACTCTAACTCCTATGATTATAGATCTAAAACAAAAAATAACTGAGACCTATTTATTCCCCCAGTTCCAAACTCAGTCTTATCTAAAAACAGAAGCACCATGACCACTCATGTTGAGAAGATGCTTACCACACCTGGGGCCTTTAGCAGTTATGCTGCTCTATGACTGTTTTATTAACTAAAATTAATAAATGTTCTATTAACTAAAATCTAAGTTAACTTATTTCATTATGAATCAGTCATATATTTCATTATGAATCAGTCTTTATATTTCTTCTTGCAGGTAATCATCCACTTATCTGAGGTGAAGACCCTTTTAACTACCTACTTGTTTGTTTCAAAATATGAAAAGCTTCCCCCCCGCCCCCACCCCACCATCCCTACTGGCAATATGCAGAAAATAAAAGTAATGCTTAAGTGCCAAGTTAAGTATTGGTGAAAGAAAGGCAAGTCAGTAAAGTAAAATTACATTTAATCAGTACCTTGACATGTTTTTACTGGTGGTAAATTTTTTTAAAAAATAGAAAAGAGAAAACGGTCAACACCCAAGATTCACATGGTGCATTCTTGCTATGCAACACAACTAGGGTTTCCCGTGACCCTAGAAACAGGGCTCCCCTCCCAGAGTCATTCATTTACACAGAAGCCCGTGGAGGGCAGTCCCCTAACTGCAGCCTCTTTCCCGTCAATGCCCAGAATGTTATTTTAAACAAAAACATATGTGGAAAGTAAGAATTTCTGCCCTGCCTACCTCTCTTTTGGAGTTACTAGAGACATAAAGGTTAAAAATCACACTGCTAAACAAAGAATCATGAAGGATCATGGTACTTTGGAAAGGATGGGGAACCAGTCCCTGGTCAGGTTTCCTTCACTGTACTGCTTCATTACCATTTTATGAGAAATTTTATTAATATTTAACAACAAACCTTTCCAACACATGGAAAAAATACCATGTGGTAACTTGAGACAAATATGTTTTACGTCCTGTTGGTGGTAGAAGGAAGATACACTACTCTTTTTTAGCCTAAAATATAGAACAATACATATTTCTTTCGAAAATTAACTTTTATGTCCTGGGGAAGTTTCCACTCAGTTTCAAAGAAAACCATCAACTTCTCTGCATCTGCCCATTAGCACCATTAGAACATGCCTTGACTACTTCCCCATCAATTTGCATTCTACCTGACGGAGGAGAGGATCACAGTACATCTGCTCAATAGTCTGGGTAGTGCTTGCAATACAGTTCTTTAAGTCTGTTAAAAAAGAACACTCAGTTATAATGATTTCACCCCACGTCACACAGGCAGCTCTAGCTCTGCAAAGACTACAGCGTCTCTGTACCTGAGGTTTTCACCCTTTCAACTTCTCTCTATGAACCATAAGGAAGCATGCAGTTTTAAAGCAGCTAGTGCTTTAGGTTACAAAAGCTTTTAGTTTAATGTAACTACATTAAGATTTCTAAAAAAAAAAAATCATGTCTTATAATTGGCACCAAAATTTCTTAGGAAACAGTCTCTAAAAACAGACTTTAAGGGTCACTCGGGTGTAAACTACATGTGCCAGAGACACCTGGAAAGGGAAGGCAAAGCAACAGGCAGGGCCAGACTTCTGTCAGTAAGAACCTGGGAGGAATCTAGATTTGCATAATTTACTTATTTATTGCTCCCTAGACAAAAGGAGAAAGAAGGGGAAGACGAGAAACAAGACAAGGCCATAGGATTTTAGGAACAAAATGCTGAATAATGTGATTTTACACTGCAAGCATTACTCAGATATTCTTTGCCTCCTTAACTGTCAATAAAGCATACTGTATGTAGAAAAAACTTTAAAAGTGGAAATTCAGGAAACTGAAATTCTAAGTTTGGGTCAACTGAAGTCAGAGTTCAGATAAACTACAGGAAAGGAAATCCAGCAGACACAGAAAATTCTCTAAGGTGAGTGGCATTCCTGGTATCCAAGATACCCAGGAATTCACAGAAAATTTGAGGAGGGAATCTAGGGAAGAACTTTTCATGGTTGTATTACTAAAGCAAAGTATCTGACCTAATCTCACAGGGAACAAAAGTACCAAAGAGGTCACAGTTCCTCAAATTCAACAGAATACATGGCAATGACAGGATGTGTCTCCAAGGTGCCTAATTTCCACCTATTCACACAAACAGAAAAGGCAAAGAGTAACCATCTGACAAGCAGAAAAAGCCAACCTTGTATATCCTGTTCAATCTCGTTCCTCCACCTCTGCAGGCACGTCTTAACAAAGTTTATCTCCTCATCTGTGACTGTTCGAGGAGCTGGGTGTGCGGGCATTTCCACGGAAGAACGGGGAGGTGCAGGTGGCTGCTCTGCCATCTTAGACTTGTGCGCAGAATCTTCAGAGGAAGAAAAGGTTCCTTCAGCTTCCTGAGACGTGCTGTCTTTACTTGTACTGAAGGAAGATTAAGAAAAAAAACGCTCAGATTTTAATTTCTAAACTATGCGTCTGTTCTCAGTCACTAAATCATGTCCAACTCTTTGGGACCTCATGGACTGTAGCTCTGGAGGAGGGGCATGGCAACCTACTCCAGTATTCTTGCCCGGAGCATCCCATGGACAGAGGAGCCTGGCAGGCTACAGTCTATATGGTTGCAAAGAATTGGTCAGATATGACTGAAGCAACTTAGCATACATGCATGGACTGTAGCCTGCCTGGCTCCTCTGTCCACGGGGTTTCCCAGGCAAGAATACAGGAGCAGGTTGCCATTTTCTCCTCCATTTACAAAATATGTCTTTTGCCTAAATTAGTGCACTCTGTAAAGCAAGCTGCTCTGTGGGGAAGCACAGCCACAATTTAGTGAGTGTTTACTCTGTAAAGTTACTGAGCCAAACCTTCCCTTTACAGGCATCATCTCACTTAACACAGCTTGCTGATGAGGCAGGTACTATCACCATTCCTATTTTACCAACTTTCAAATCTAAGATTCAGAGAAATAAGGCAGTGTTCCCAGGTTCACCCAGCTAGTGAAGGACAGGGAAGGATTAAGCTCAAATCTGCCTGAGTTCACAAGTCTATGGCACCTGCTCTCTAACCACTTGTAACAGTGAACCTTCTTCTCAAGAAGAAAGGATGAGAAAGAACATGGAAAAGAGATGGGGAGTAGTCAAGGGATCGACTATTGTGTTTCTAAGATGTAACTGACCAAAGTGAGATGGACAGGTGGATCCAGGAACAAAATACACAGAAGAAAAATGGTATCAGCTGTATACCCAACATGCAGGAATGCAAACTAGGTGGCACTCTGGGAGAGCACCGGGTGAGAACTTACTGGCAGACAACTCCAGCTCCACCACATCTCAGCTAAACACCCAAGGAGACGGTAGTAACCTCGGGTAAGGAATCTAACACTTCAGCTCTAAGAGGTGGATATCAACCCCTTTACATCACTGTCATAAACTGAGAAGGAAGTATGTAAAGTAACTGTTAACATATCTACTAATTAACTACCGCCAAAAAAACTGCACATAGACAAATCAGCAGGAATATACATGAATCTAACTGTACTGAGGGTTCTGTTTCACACCAAAACTCAAGAACATAAACTTCACAGTTCTCACTTAAACTCTCACTCCCCTTCCTACCTGCCTCTCTCTCATAAACAAAATAAAGGAGCAAACCTCTTTTCCCTGAGGACCCATACATATAGGAAAACAAGGCCAATGTAAGCAAGAGAGGAGATGTCTCAATCTCAAAAAAGATTACACATACACAGAGCAACTTTAAAATCTAATATCAGTCAGTACTATTTCATATTATTAAACAAATAAAACCACTTTTTAAAAATTAAAATAATTTATATTTTACAAAGGACATGAGAACATTCTACAAAAACCCAAACAGACACACGTAGATAAGAGTTTAAAGTAAAGGAACCCTCCCTCCACACTGCGCCTTGCGCCATCCCCTAGAGATAACCACTATCACCGTTCGGTATGCACTCTGCACACACATGAATGAATGAATAGTAATACATGTGTGTGTGGGAGGGGCAGCGAAGGAATGATTGGGTTTCTTTTAACAACATAAAAAAGTCTAAACTCTTCTATAGGCTCTAGTGTTTCTGTTAGCCAGGACCAACGGATCACATTTGATCCGCGCCGGCCCCAGTGGCTCCTCCAGACCACAAAGGCTGCTGCACACAGTTGAGCTAGAAAAGAATCAAGGGGTCATGTGACAAGGCCTCTCTGTCTCTGCTGGATAAGCCGCTGTAGGCTGTCCTCTTCAATTTCTAGCCAGTTCTTTCTCTTATTTTAATTTTCTACTTGTAAATAAGTTTCCCTTTGCTTGGTGTTTACTCAGTCGTGCAGACTCCTTCAGCAGACGAGTGAATGTCATGTTTTAGAAAACCAGCGGCTGAGTTTTCCTCTGGGAAAGGCCTTCCATGGCAGTTAGCTTACAGCAACCTCCGAGCCAGGTGGGCCTGGCGGAGAACGAACACTGTTCCAGACAGTTCAAGACACCTCTGTAATAATCCCAACTATCCCTTGGGTGAGACAAATGCATGGGTGGGAATTACGAACGATTTACTTAAGTGGCAAAACCCGTCCCTGTAAGACAAAGAACTCATGGCCCATGAGCTCTCATGGGGCGAGTGTTCATCAGGAGGAAACAAGGCACACAGCTCAGATTAAGCCCAAAACCCCAATATATACTATTTTAAAAACTTGTTTCCGTTACCTTTCCTTGGATGTCAGGTCAGAAGTCAGGCAGTGTGCTGAAGAAAGTGGTTCTGTCATGCATGCATCACTTTGAGACACAGAGCTCTCTGAGGCAGGTTTTGTACTGGCAAATTCAATTACGTATTTCAACATGTCCGGAAGCGGGAACCGGGCTGGGCCCGAGCCATATTTCACATACCTACGAGGCAGATAAAATGGTACTCTAGTGCCAAAGCATCTTTTACTTTCAGGCTCGCTGTGTTATTAGATGGGAGAGTCAATGGAAAGGCTTATCCCTAAAGGCTATACAATATTTAATACATTAATCTACAGAGCAAAAGTTTTCTAACTACAAAAGAGAAAACTGACAACAGTCTGAATCTTTACACTTGACAGAAAGCATTTCAGATGGGCTCCTATTCAAAGTCACACCAGTGGTGTGATTCAAATAACAGTTAGGCTCTACTCATAAAAGTAAACTCTAATAAAAAAAAAAGTAAACTCTGTTTTTTTAAAGGAAGAGAGATATCATTACTCAAATCTGAAAATAATGCTGGTGAACTATTAGGTTGGTACAAAAGTAATTGCAGTTTTGCGCTGCTGAAATTCGCCATTTGATGTTGGAATATATTCTTAAATAAACATGGTTATGTTATACATTTTAATGTGCATTTCTTGCTTCATGTTTTTTTGCTAATGGCTTATTACTTGCTGTTTATTTTATATGTTTTAGACTACGGAAATGATGTTAGTCAGAAAGCAATTTCATGCGATTTTCTTATTTGAGTTCAAAATGGGTCATAAAGCAGCTGAGACAACTCACAACATCAACAATGCATTTGGCCCAGGAACTGCTAATGAATGTACAGTGCGGTGGTGGTTCTGGAAGTTTGGCAAAGGAGACTAGAGCCTGAAAGATGAAGAACATAGTGGCCGGCCACCAGAAGTTGACAGTGACCAAATGAGAGCTGATCCTCTTACGACTACAGGATAAGTTGCCCAAGAACTTAGTGTTGACCATTCTATGATTGTTTGGCATTTGAAGCAAATGAAAAAAGGTGAAAAAGCTCAGAAAGTGGGTGCACTCATGAGCTGACTGAAAATAAAAAAATGTGTCACTCTCAAGTGTCATCTTCTCTTATTCTGCACAACAACAAATCATTTCTTACGGCTTGTGATGGGCAACAAAAAGTGGACTCTACATGACAACCAGGACGACCAGCTCAGCGGCTGGACAGAGAAGCAGCTGCAAAGCACTTCCCAAAGCCAGACTTTCTCCAAAAAAGGGCCTGGTCACTGTGTGGTGGTCTGCAGCCGCTCTGATCCACTGCAGCTTTCTGAGTCCCAGTGAAACCATTACATCTGAGAACTATGCTCAGCAAATGATGCGATGCACTGAAAACTGCAACGTCTGCAGCCAGCACCGGTCAACAGAATGGGCCCAATTCTTCTCCATGCCAATGCCCAACCAAACGTCACACAAACAATGCTTCAAAGGCTCAACAAATTGGGCTACCAAGTTTTGCCTCATCTGCCATATTCACCTGACCTCTCTCCAACTGACTACCATTTCTTCAAGCGTCTCAACAACATTTTGCAAGGAAAACGCTTTTACAACCAGCAGGATGCAGAAAATGCTTTCCAAGAGTTCGTCAAATCCCAAGGCACAGATTTTTATGCTACAGGAATAAGCATACTTTTTTCTCGTTGGCAAAAATGTGTTGACTGTAATGGTTTCTACTTTGATTAATAAAGATGTGTTCGAGCCTAGTTATACTGATTTAAAATTCAGGGTCTGAAACCACAACTACTTTTGTACCAATCTAATGTACCCAAGGTCTTCTTTTCTTTGCTGCCTTTTAGATAAAGTAATCTGCAATTAGGAAAAATGAGAGAGAAAGCTAGAAATGGGAAGTAGGTGTTGACAAAGGTCAGAGATTAAGTCCTATGTACACTATGATTCACGTACTCATTTAACAGTGCAGGCCACGCATAGGTTACTGAAGATTTCGTTGGAATCAGTAAATAATAAATGCCTTCAATACGTAATCAAAATGACCAATTATTTTAGTAATACCCAATGTTTTGCCACTACTAGCACATGCTACACTAAGAAGAGAGATTTACTTTAGTGAATTCTACAGTTCATTACAGTAGAGAGTCTAAATGGTACATAAGTTGACTCACTGGTACAGGTAAACTGTAATTCTGGGATTCCATTTACAAAAGGAGAGAGTCACTTCACATTTTTCTTCTCTGAATAAAGTGAAAGAAACAGCCACAGAACTAGGGAGAAGGAAAACTAACTGTTTCTACATCAAAAGGTATACTATGAAGTGAAAAATAAAATATAATGCAACTCAAAATCAACCACATGTTAAAGGATATATAGCAAAGACACTTCATCTTCTCTAATTTAAAAGAGAAACAGAATGATTTCTCCTGTGGATTTGCCTGCCACACAGAGTTTTGGCTTTCAAAGAAAAGGATGTTAAATATATAAAGCTAGGAACTTTAAATAACTGTTTCTAGTCCTTAGATCTGTATCTTTGGCTTACTGTCAGCTATCAACTTATCTAAACTTGACTCATGTTTCAAGATCTATTTTCTCCAGGGTCTTCTTTTCAGTATGTCATTCCCTTTAACACGGAAGGAACATCTCCCATCTCTGAACTCCTTTTCTATCCCACAGACATGGTAAATGTCTTAAGCACTGTTTGTTGAAATAATTTATTAATACATGACTGCCTTGGACCAAAGGAAACATCTTTCTAGTAGCATTGCAGCACTGATAATCTGTCATAAGATTTTAAGCCGTCATTTTACATCTGTAACTCTTCCCAGGTTTACATGTATTTTAACATTCTGCTGTATTTTAACATGATATTCATACAAAATTTCAGGAAAAAATTTTCTTGGAGAAACTTATCTTCAATTCTATGACACAATCATTTTCCTGTTCTTCTAATGAATTCCTTTAGGCCAACTACTTCATACAATGTATTAATTTAGCAGAATTAGAATGAAAGTGGTTTCAAAAAAGATATCTACACTATACACAAGAAATCTTATTTTTAATATGGTATCAAGGTGCTTTTACAGAAGAAATGGTGAACTTTTTTTTTTAATAATAAAAGTAATACATATACCTGGTAAGAAAACTCAAATTCAAAAAAGGATAAAACAAACCATAAAAGCCATCCATTCCCATCTCAGTTCTACTACCTAATGGTATCCATTAACAAGTTCTTTGCAAAGATTCCCAGAACTATGTCACACATAGACAAGCAATTTTTCAAAAATAATTACCCAAGTAATATTATCCAAAAATTTAAGTTACTTTATTTTAAAAAGAAAGTCGCATTCATACTACAGAAAATACACCTGTATGCTATTTAAAATCTAAATAAGTCAGAATGCCTAGCTGGTTATTGCAAATTGAGTATTTTTCAGTCAAAATACATCAGATATACCAGGTATAGTGTATGAAAACAATTATAACTTTCTAATCTTATAAAGTATCACTCAAACTTTTAAAGTGAAACATTTCCATAGGTATAAAGTCCTGTAAATCACTTCCAAGAGTATCTGAAGACTCAGTCTCCAGCTTAAGTCCACATTAAGACAACAAGATGATGGATCACAACAACCCTCAGATGAATCCTTCCTAAGTGAGGGGGAGGGGCTGGAAGGGGCACCCACAGGTGCGGGGTCTTTCTCAGGCTGGTGTAGCGGGTTTTGCCTCTCAGGGAAATTACTGAGCTAGCAATGAAGTAGTCAGAGCTGGAGTAGCGGTAGCAGCAAAAATAGTAAGTAGATAGAGGCCAAAAAAAAGCCACTGACATCGTATGGAATCTCCTTCCTAAAGACTAAATTAATGGTCTCTGACTAGACAGAAGTTACACTGATTCCTTCTTAGGAAGTCAAGGGTGACTTCACAAAAGCAGTCAGCAAGAACAGATGAACAATGATTTCTCCACAGGAGAAAGGACTTCGTATGTGTCAAAAATACAAGCCCTCTCTGAGTCAGCACTGCTGACCTGTTTTACCTTTACAAGGCACTTCAAAAACTGCTTTCTCAAGACAAAGGGATTAGAGTTTTGTGATAGTTACCTCTCCTATGTTTGTAGACAAGATGGCAAGGAGATCAGAAAAAGTAAAGAGCTATGAAATCAGAACTTGGCTTCTCTTTAGTACACTGTCAATAACTCACCATGTGACTTGGGTCAAAGGTGTCCTGGGACCACTACTGCCCATCTTAAAGACTGTTTCACATTTTCCTTATCCATTTTATAAAATATACTTGTTAATACTTAAACTCTGAATTCATTTTTAGATAAAAGCAAATTATCCAATTTTAATACCCCATTCTAAGTACAAAGGTGTCTATGACTCACCTTTCCAGTTTTTGCTGCAGAATTTTTATTTCTTCTTTGAGTTTTCGAATACACTCTCGCTTACTTCGAACAAGCTCTTTGCTCCTGTACATATACCTAAGCAAATAATAATCCCACAGACACAATTTATATTTAAAAACATTAATAACACAAAGTTTCAGCAAACTTTGGATACAAGGAAACTGCCTTAATCAGACACAGGGTTTGTTTTATGTTAGCTCTATGAAAATACAGAGCTAACATCATATTTAATGATGAAAGACTAAAAGTTTCCCCCCCTAAAGATCAGGAACAATCCAAGAAGGACCACTCTTGCCTATTCTATTCAATGTTTTTACTGGAGGCATAGTCAGTACAATAAGGTGAAAAAAAGAAATAGAAGTCATATAGATAGAAAGGAAGGAAGTGAAGTGAAACTGCCTTCATTTGTAGATAACAGGATCACTGTATGCAGGAAATCTCAAGGAATCTACAAAAATGTATCAGAACTAATAACTGAATTTATTAGTAATGTCAAAAGACACAAAATCAATTAAAAAAGAAAGAGGAAAAAAAATCTACTGCATTTCTATATACCTGTAAAGGACAAATGAAAAGTAAATTTTTTTTCAAAGCCTTATAACATCAAAGGCAATAATTATTTAGGAATAAACAACCAGATATGTGCAAGAACTGTACACAAAAAATTGTAAATCACTGCTGAGAGAAATTAACAAAGAGTTGAATAAATGAACTCTTTAATATAAATATATAAATATTATGAATAAGTAAATAAATACCATGCTCATGGACTAGAGGACTAAAAATTGCTAAAATATCAGTTTCCCCAAATTGATCTATACATTCAACACAGTCCCAATCAGAATCCCAGTAGCTACCAGGGGTTTTGACAAGATGATTTTAATACTTACATAGAAATGAATGAGAATAGCCAAAACATTTTTTTTTTTAAAAGGAGTAACATAGTAGGAGATTTATATTATCTGATGTCAAGGTTTATAATAAAATCACAGTAGTTTAGAGACTGTGGTACTGGCATAAGATGACACAACAGATAGAATAAAACCTCTAGAAAAAGATCCACAAATGTAAGTCCAACTGATTTTTTAAAAAAGTATCAAGATAATTCAGTGGGGAAAAGGGAGCTGTTTAAACAAATGATGCTGAAATAACTGGATATCCACATGTCGCCTTACTGCCTCCTGCAAAAATATACCCTTACCTCATACCATATATGAAAATAAACTCTAAATGGTCATAGACATGAACATAAGAGTAAAGATTACAAAATTTCCAGAAAAAAATATCAAAGACCTTTGTGACCCTGGGTTGGAAGATTCCTTAATTAGAATACAAAAAGCACAAACTATGAAATGGCAACTGATACATTCGACTTCATAAAAACTAAAAACTCCTGCTCTTCTAAAAATACTAGTAAAGAAATGGAAGAGACAAACAAAAATAGATTTAGATTCATACCCAAAATATATAAAGAACTCTTACAACTCAGTATGAACACAATCAACCAAACTAAAAAGTGGACAAAAGATACCTCCCCTAAGAAAATATACAAATGACCGTTAATTAAGCACACAACAAGATGCTCAGTGTCATTAGTTATCATGGAAATACAAGTCAAAAGAAAAATAAAGATCTTCCTATAAACCCAATGAACAGTGAAAATGAAAGTTGCTCCGTCATGTCTGACTCTGTGTGACCCCACGGACCAGCCCACCAGGCTCCTCTGTGCATGGAGTTCTCCACCCCAGAATACTGGAGTGGGCGCTAGCCATTCCCTTCTCCAGGGGATCTTCCCAACCCAGGGACTGAATCCAGATCTCGTGCATTGCAGGTGGATTCTTTACCATCTGAGCCACCAAGAAAAGCCCCAATAAACCCAACAGAATGGCTAAAATTTAAAAGACTGATAATTCCAGATAATGGTGAGGACTTAGAGCAAATGTAGCTTTCATACACGGCTGATAGGAACACAAAATTGTATAGCCACTTTAGAGAACAGTTTAGAAATTTCTCATAAAGGTAAAAACATACTTTTCATACAATAACCAGCAATCTCACTCCTGGGTGTTTTACCCAGAAGCACTAAAAGCCACACCAAAACTTTTATGTGAAAATTCATATTCATAATAGCCTAAAACTGGATACATCTGAAATGTCCTTAAACTAGCTAATGGAAAAAATATAGTGGTAAATCCATACAATGTAATACTACTCAACAGTACTAAGAAAGAAATCACTGATATATGCAACAACATACATGAATTCCAAAAACATCATTCTAAGTGAAAGATGATGACCACAACAGGGTGCATAACGAATATTAATGTCCCTAATTATAACACTTTATAAATGACAAAGCTGGAGGGCCAGAAAATAAGTGGCTGCCTGAGGGCACAGGGAAGGGACTGACTGTAAAGGGGCATGGGTGATGGAAGTACTCTGTGTATTGACTGTGGTAGCAGTTACCTGACTGCATATATTCATCAAAACTCATTGGCTGTACACGTAAGAATGGTTAACATTTCTGTATGTTGATAAAATAGACTTAAAAGTTCTGTTAAGTCTGTCTAGGATTTTTTTCAGGAATACAAATAGTATTCAGATGAGAAAGAAACAGACGGCAGCTCCTCCACATACTGGGCATCACTGCAGAGAGCAGAGCTTTCACCTAAAGCCTAGCTACTCAAATTGTGGTCCAGAGATCAGAAAATAGCATCACCCTGAGAACTTCTTAGAAATGCAAACTCTTGGGCCCCCACCTAGATCCACTGAATCCAAATTTGCATATTATCAAGACCTCCAGAAAAGTACACTTAGTACAAGCTTACTTCTGCTACAGCACATCAAGAAGACAATCAACCACAGAACTCACCTGTCCATATAGATGATCTGAGGAAATTCAAGCTTATTGTGAATTTTCTCTGGCTGACCCAGGGATTGATTAAACTCAAATCTTGAGAGTTCAAAGGTCAACACTGGAGGTAGTTTTGTAAACCAACGCTATATCAAGAGTAGAAATACAGGAGAGAAAAGTTAAGTTTAGGAAACAGCAATAGCCAGATTTAAACTATCCCTCATTAGACTCTCTTTTGGTATAGAATTTATATTCAAATGAACTCATACTGAAATTTTTTTTTAAATCCCAAATAGTTAAAATGCCCACACAGAATCATGCCTTCTTACAGAATATGGTTAAACTCTCCTCAAGACTCCAAACTTACAAGCCAGTGAACATTTTAATTCAACTATCATCGTCAGAAATAATGACCTTTAAATATGTGAACTGCACCAAAAATCTACATATCAGTCACTACATCATCAACATTTAAGAGGCTTAAAACCTGCAGAAAACAGCTAGCCCAACCAATGAATTAGAAATTGTTTAAAAAGACTAGTACGTGTACACATCCTCTATACTACTTACTCACACAGAGTTTGAATCCTCTTTACTACTAAAAACGAAACTTGAAACAGCCTCATGATTCTGAAAAAAAACTCTGAATCCCAAGAATTTATGGATAACACAAAGGACTTCATCAAATCAACCAATAAGTTACCTTGAGTTTCAAGAAAAGAAAGTACTGAGTTATAAAAAAAGATCTCAACTGTCACTGATCATAGATGAGGAAAAACTAGACCAGGAAAGGCATTTCTGTTCAATTCACCTGTGTGGCAGAGGTTCATACTAACAACTTTAAAATGTTCCCTTTACCAAAGGTGCAAATAGCTATATTTCCTCCACATACACTTGTCGGCATGAGGTGAATCCAAATAATCTGCCTGCCTTCCTCAGAGCTAAATCTAAACAGGCACTATTTTCTATTTTTTTTAATAGAGAGGTCCAATTCTTGAATAAAAGTCTCCAGAGGTCCAAGTTGTGAACAAACACTCTTTCTCTTTTGTAAAAGCATGCATCAGCTCTGCACAGGTGGCACAGATGTTAAGTCTCCCAATCAGGAATTAACACGTTCCTTGCAAAGCTAGGGAGGCAATAGTTCTCTCCCTGTTCTAACACTGCTCTACGGCTAATGTACTTTGACAAGGCTCATGTCAGGCTCCCTGTTAAATTCAAGAAAGATTTTCTTTCTCCTTTAAGTAATTACTGGATTGGACTCATAAAAAGCACAACTCTGTTTCAAAATGTATGATGAAAGGAGAATAATTCAAGCTGTGTGGTGTTGGCAATTATGCTACACTATAACTCACTAACTCTTACCCCAGTGGAAACGTTGAGATGTTTAATTACCCTTACTTGCCCTTCACCTTCCCCCTTTCTTTCCAACCCACAAAAACAAATAAATGAATCTTAAATAAAAAAAAATTTAAAGCAAAGGCAGAATTTACAACTGGGAACAGTAAATACTGCAGTAGGGAAGATATTCTACATGGCATACCATAGGAATAATCACTGCACTTTTACCCTCCAAAAATATGGAGGCAGGGGGTCTCCCCATTCAGGTACAGGGAGGCTTCAACAGAAAGACAAAAACTTGATCACACTTAAAACATCAGAGGCCGCATACAACCTTTATATAATTAACTCAAATCATACAAGAATTTAATATCAAACACTAAGACTCACTACTCTTACCAACTCATGAGACACTTTAGACTAGTACAAGTCCTGCGAAGTGTAAAAAGTAATTAATACGTGACGTGAAAACAGTCTGCCCAAAAGCTCAGTCCTATTTAACTGGCTTTGTCAATGGCAAAAGCAAAAATATCCAACTCACCTCTTGTCCGTACTTCACTGCATGATCGGAAGGAAGCAGCTCAACGTCACCCTCCACCATGGCCCCTTCTAAACACTCGTCTAAGTTACGGTAGCCGTTTACCTGAAGGGGGTACTGGCCGAAGGTCTCATTGTTACAAAAGGGCTTTCCTAGGCGAAGAGACAGGTTGCTTTTTTAAAGGCATCACTACTGCTTTCTAAAGCTTTTTCCCTGGCACCACAGAAACAATATCTTCTTAATTCAGCAATTTGCTGAGAACACGTTAGAAGTATACATGGCCTTGATGAACCAGTGGATCCATGCACAGATCACTGACAACTGCTAACCTCACAAGAAAGAAAGACAACCAGAGGTAACATGTCTCCTAATCAAAGACTGTCCTACCATTTACAGATGAGTCTAGACTAATTAAAAAGCCTTACCTGAATCTGGCCAAATTCTAGATCCAACTACCAATTTATGAAATGATGAGCAGAGGAATATGTTAAAACATATCACAGATAATGAGCAGCAAAATTTTAGACTGTAGAGAATATAAGAGAACAACGTAATTTCTTAAAAAAAAAAAATCTTTCGAGGAAGAAAAAATGGGGGGATGGGATAGTCTGCAGATTCTGGAAAGAAATGAAAAGACGTATCAACCAGTCGCAAATGAGTCACATTTGATCCTGATAAACACAAACTGTAAAAAAGTATACACATAGGGAAGTGCATTTATATTTACATACATAAATTTATTTACTTATATACACAAAAAATCATAAAACAAATAGGGTATTTGAACACTTGGCTAGTTGTATACGACAGTAAGATATGCTGTTTTGGGGGAGTGATAGTGGATTAGATTGTTCTAAGAGGCTATCAGAAGGGTAAAAGATGACAAGGGTTAGATAGGGAATGACTGGCCATGTGTCTGATATGCAGCTAGATAAGCCACTGGAGGAGACACACATTTTTTGGCAGTCTGACTCAATGACACTCTGAGCTTAGATATTATGTCTGGAAAAAACAGAGAAAACTGATAAATATCAGTGTGTGTCTGATGTTAATACCAGGTTTGGGTTGGGTAATATTATTCAATTCAATATAACACTTCTACAACAAACACTGTGCCCATTTTACAGATGAAGAGACTGAGGATCCAGGATCACAGAGCTTGACCATGATCACACACATCAAAGAGGCAGAACTAGTATTCAGACCTGCATTTGTCTGACTCTCAAGCCTCTCCACAGTAAATATACATGTGGTCACAAGTCGAGAATTAACATTTAGAGCAAAGGATTTACCTTCACGAATCCCTTCAGTGAGGAAAGTACCATAGAACAGCTGCACCATTGGATTTTCAGATTTGTTCCTGGGATTGCTACTTTTAAAACAAGGAAACAATTCTGTATCATTTGGATGAGGTAAGTAATATACTAAACCAAACCATCACTCAAAAGCAAAAATAAAACATTTTCATTAAGAGCCAGGTATGGTCTAAAGTGAAGGATTAGTTACTCACTGAATAAGTTTAGTTCAAAAACTCACTGGTCAAGTATATGCCCAGCACTGTACTAAAGTCTGGAGACATGAAGGCAAGAGGCATGATCCCTGGCCTTAAGGAGCTGAAAGTCTGATAAGAAGTCATACATGCAAATACACGTATGTGTGTATATTCAATAGATACATCCATATCCAGTGACAGAAGTATATAAGGTACACAAATTGTATAAAAGCAAGAGTGAGCCCTCTTGTGCAGCTTTTCAAATGAAAAAGTTTTCCTGGTGGCATAACAGAAATGGAAAGAAAACGGTTTGTTTCTCTAATCCCTTCTTAAATGTATTAGAAAGCTATTTTATGATACATACTTCTTCCATCTAGAGTTAAAAAAAAAAGTTTAGGGAACAAAACCTCTGCATATATATTTGGTAAGAGGTATATTCTTTGCCTTGAATTTTACTTCTGTCAGTAACTGAAACAATTAAACTCAATGTATTCTCCATTCTCACATCAAGGATTGATTTGACCTTTCAATACATTTTACAGCACAGGTGTTGACTTTTAAGAGTTAATAGTTATGGCCCTTTTAGTAAAAAGTTACAGATTAATGTGATTATCTATAGAGGGGAAAAACCAAAGACAAGGGGGATAAACAATGACAAATACGAGTGGCTACCCCATGGGGTTTGGTAAAAATCAGTAATTTCTACTTGAGAAGAATACTCTTCTCCTGTATCATCATTCTCAGTGAACTGCTATGAGTAGGAGAATGCACAAATCTGCAGCACTCACTTAACATTGACAGCTAGCTGGAAGGCGTCCTCCAGCCAATCCAGGAGCTTGTGTGTGAACTCACTCACATCTTGCTGTAAGAGAGGCATAAGGTGCAGAAGAGTTAGACTCAACACTGTACATGGGCAAATGAAACTCTGCCCTTATCCCGCCAATGAGGAAGGCACTATTACTGTGTAAGATTTCTTTTTCAGGTCCAAATATCATGAAGATACAAGGAACACCGGAGCCCAAGGGCTGCAGACAACACAAGGTGCTCTAGGGGATCCCTCACCAGGAGGAAATGGAACACTGCCCCTTCCAGCTGCATCTATTTGTAACAAACTATCAAACACATCTTCCAGCTAGGCATTTTAGAAAGGTTCAAAGAACAGACTGTAGTCCTCTAGAATAGGAGATCTGTAGGGGGAAACAAAATGTTTCGAAATGTTCTGAGAATTGGTAGAACTACAGGACCTTTAGACAAACAGAGAAAAAAAAGTAATTGTATGAACAGTGCTAGTTTTGATTTTAATAGGAGATAGGGAAAGGAACAGACTTGTGACTAGAAAAGAAAGATTGCTCAGAAAAGCTACTGAACTCAGTTTTAGACAGTTTTAAAATTAGGATTTCGATCTGGGCCATTCCAAGACAAAGGTGCAGAAAAAGGACGGACTTTCTTTTCCTTGGTGACCCTTTGCCATGATTCACTGAGGTATCTTCCAAGCTCCTTCTTTCTAATTCAACAGTCCCTGGAAAATTCTATTCTTTCTACTACTTCTTTCCCTTAGAACCGCCAGCCTCCTCTACACAACACACATACACATGCATATTCTTTTTTACCACCTGTTCCTTAAGCATTATAAAGGGCAAAAGCAGGCACTGAAGTCCTACACCATCATGTTCACAGTATTATGCAGCTGAAACAAAGCGGCATCACAGCAATAGTCACAAGGCATCACTGCAGGCTCCAGGACGACAGGCTTCCTGTACCTGCTGTTCCTCGGGTGATCGGAACGCTCCCTTTAAGAGGTCCAGGGCTGCTGAAGGGTCTACAAACTTGCGATTTGATCCCATCATCAGAGCAAACAAATACTGAAGCTCCTGCATAAACACGATATTTCTCTTTTCCTGCAGGAAAGATAGTCATATGTTCTCTTATAACCTTGTATTTGGAAAATTAGAACGCATAAAGAGAAAAGTTGCTAACGATCACTCCCTGATTTACATTTATGAAGATCTAGATCAGAGTCAGGTCTCAAACTGTTACAGGTATTCTGATAAGGGCTGTGGTGGGGATTGCCCTTACCTCAAGACTACCTGTGTATTGACAGAAGCCAGAGACAGAATACTGTCAGAAAGTACAAGTGCTCCCTTTCTAAAGCCGCTGCCCTCCCTCCTGCTGGGAACAGCATCACCAAGGTGAAACCTTGGCAGGGCAGGCTGACCCGAGCAGGAGGCTACCCGCTTTGGCAAGAACGAGCTGCAGTCTCCTGTGAAGGTCCAGGCCTCCGGCGTCCCATCATCCACCCTGCATCACTCAGCTCAAGTGGCTGAAGGTGCCTGAAGGAGGCCCAGGGGCAGAAAAGCTGAGGCCACCAGAGTGACTCACTGCTTTCTTAGAACTACTTTTCTCATTTTATTCCTGCTTAACTTCACGTTTTTGTAAACCCTTATTTCTTGTCACAAAGAAGAAGGGGTCATCAGGAGACGGAAACAAATGCTGCAGAAGCCAGAGACCATCACAGTCACCAGCTTTAACCAAAACCTAAAGGTCTTTGGGATGAAAGGGGCTGAACACCGAAGACTCCTCAACACCAATTTACCGTGTGACTTGGACAACTTTCAAGTACGTTCTGTGGTAGACTATAGCTGAGGACAAGTCTTCGGAATTCAGGCAATTGAAACAGAGACTGAAATAAAGAAGGAAATGGATTAATAGCCTTTCTTTCAAAATAACTGCAGCAAAAAAATTTTTTTATCATAAAAATATGTGTATAACCATTAACTTAGTAATTCTATTCTAAGAATTTAATGGCTATGTATAAAAATTTAGCAGAAAGAATGTTAATCCTTTTTAGAGAAAAACTAGAAACAACCTAATGGCTAATAGGAAAAGATTAAATAAACTATAGTTTACCTGTACAGCAGATTATTATACCATCATTAATACTGCAGAAACAACGTTTTCATAAAATGGACAACTACACAGTAAAAATGAATGCTCAAGAGTTACATATATCAACATGGATGCATCTCAGAAACATTCTATGTAGAAAAATAAGAGTACTATGCTGCGTATATAAAACAACATTGTACACTGTTAAGGGTTACATACATCTGTAGGTGTGTCTAGCAAGGCGGGGCACATAATGGGCAATGAGCATAACAGGGACTCAACAGTACAGGGATTTGAAACATTTCTTTCTAAAACTGTTCATTACTCTCCACTGTTTGTCCTAAGTACTGGTATTAAGAAATTATAACAGCAGATATCTCGGACTGGCAGAATTAGGGAAAGGGATTCCTTTTTATTGCTTATAAATTACACATCTTTCCAACTATGACTGACTCTCTTTTGAAAGTTGATGTTTTAAAAAATCTCTTGTATGACTTAACTCCTCATCCCAACATACTCCTCCAGTGAAAAAGCCTTCCAGCCCATAGAGTGGAACTCCTGGAGCAGTAGCCTGAGTGGACAATGGGCCTCCGACTTCCCACACTCCATCACAAGCCCTACAGAATTCAGCCAATAGTACACCTGGACTGGGGACATCACAAGCTCTACTGGGATTCAGCCAACAGGAGGAGTGGACACCTGGCCTGGAAACTTCAGTCAGGTGAGGCTGGGACAGCAAAGTTCTGTCTGGAGCCAGGCCTGGGATGCTCAGCTCTACCTGCCACCTGCTCTCTTCTCTTCCCACCTCCCCTGTCTACCTGGCCCTTCTCCACTCCTCTCAGTTTCATCCCCATTCTGCTAACAGGAAAGTTCCAGGACTTCTCTTCCACCATGAGAAAAATGGTTTTATATTCCCAAGTCCCTTCACTGCAGCTCTGCAGCTTCGCCAAAGTCTGGCTTCCCCCAAAGATACTGTGATTCTTAAAAATGACAACAGCGTGAGTTAACATTACTCACATTTCCCAATACTGACTGGCCCTCCACCATCTGCTGCTTCTCCAGAAGTCTCTCTAGCACTAATTACATCCTCCTCCTCCAGGCATCAGAGTTTAGAACTTCAGAATAATCTTTTGACTCCTTTCCTTTTACTAACCATTGACATCCAGTAAGAAGCCCCTTGCACTCTGCCTCTGGGGCACTATTTTATTCATAACCACGTCCTCTCCCTCAGTCTCAAGCACCTAATCCAACCTCCAGAACCTCCTCTCTACCAGCCCACTCTCCACGCAGGTCCTTCTCACTCTCTTTCTAACATGTGTGACCAAAACAGAGCCCCTGATCCACTGAAGACTGTCACGTGGTGAGAGCTCTTCTGACCACCCCAAGTCCGCCAGCCTTCCTAGGTGACTTCGGTCAACATCCAACCCATGGGACAGCCTCTCAGCTCTGCCTTGGGAATAAATCAAGGTTCCAACCTCTCCTCCACTCCCACGGCCACCAACCTGGCCCAGCACGCCTCTCGGTGACGACTGCGGCAGCCCCCTTCACAAGTCTCAACACTTGCATCCTCACCCCTCCGTCTGCTCTCCTCAGGGGCCAGAGGGAGCCTTTGAAAACTCAAGCCAGAGTCCATCACTCCTCCGCTCAGAACCCGTACAACGACCCCATGTCACTCAGAACAAAAGTCAAGTTACCTCTCCAACAACACCTCCGATGACCCTCACCTCCACTCAGCATTCCAGCCGCTCGGGGCTCTGACGTCCCCTGAACACGCCAAGTTCTCTCCCATGCTGGGGCCCTGCGAGGCACGACTGTCACCTGGAACACCCCCAACCCCTGCCCCCACCCCCGGCGGCTATGGGCCCGCTCCCTAGGCATGTGCTCCAGCCTCAGCCCCTCAAGAGTCCTGGCCTGACCTCGCAGTCGATGTGGGAAACTCCTCCCGCCCTCCCGAGGCAGCTCCAGCCTCCCTCCCACTCCTCTCTTCTCCACCACACCGACCACAGTTTAACATAGTATAGAAACTTATCTCTCTAGTTAACTAGCTAAGTTTTCCAACTATTTATTATTTTTTATTTACTGTTCCTTGTCCATCTTGCCTCACAAGAATCAACCTTCCTAAGGGCAAGGCTGAGTCTGGGTTTGCTTCACTTCTGTATCTCAAGGGCTCAGAACAGCACTAGGCAGCTATCTGGCTTATATTCATGGAAGGAACACAGGTACTTTTGCTCAGCCCAGGGACCTCTGGCTCCCTGAGCATCTTACCTCTCGTGACCTACTCCTTGGCTCCATCTCCACACCCCTATCCACACCCAGGAAACCTCAGTACCTGAAACAACTACCAACACTCAGACCACAAATTCAGAAAACCCTGCTCTGGACAGATAACCTGTCCTCTGGCTCACGTGTTCAGGGGCCCACAGGACACCGGGGCTTTGACGTCATCAGGAACCCAAGCAAACGAGTATCTTCCCTGTCTCCCCAGTCATTACCTCCTTCCTATCATCATTTCGCCCTCTCCCCAGCTTTGATCCCATGATCTCTAACCATGATTCATTAAATTCTCAAACTGCCCTTTCGTTCTTTCATCTTACCCAGCAAATCCTCCAACTTAGATGAACTTAAATTTTCCACTTAAGCAGTGTGGAGCACTGCCAAGAGAAAAAGTCTCGATAAAGCAGGACACACTGATACCACCATGCATTTCATGCATTTAAGTCTATAAGTTCAAGCAGAGCTTCATATTTTTAGAAATTCTACTACTGTGGTCTGGTGCCAACTGGTTTCCTGCTGTTGACAACTATTTTAAACTTTCACCCTCTTAAAGAGATTCTGTCAACTTTTCCACGCTGTCTCAGAAAGTGGTGCTTATTTCAGAGGAAAAAATGACTATCAGGAACCATTTCAACGTGAATTAGCAGTCACCACTTCTTCCTGTCCTCTCCTGTTACTCTCCTGCCCTCTTGCTACTGGAGGCCAAGCCCTCCCCACACGCGCTCTGTCCCATCCTCCCGTACTTTGAAACTTTTCTCAGTTGTCTCCTCTTCATCATCTCTCACAGGAGGGACATCAACTCGGGGGGGGGGGGGGGGCGGGCGCAGGGGGTCTCAGTCTCAGTCAATCTCTCTCCCTCTCTCTCAAAAGGAAAGAACTGACTGATGTCCCTAATTCCTGATGAACCTCCTACATCCTATTCTCAACACAGAAGCCAGTGAGCCTCTTAAAGCAGAAGCAGAATCACAGTACTCGTCTGCTCCAGAACTTCGAACACTTACCACCTCTCGTAATTTCTGAATCCCGGGCATGACCCCCGGGTTCCCCCGTCTCCCCCAAACCTCTGTCGTCACTGCTGTCTGCTCCTCCTCCTTGGTTGCTCAGTCCCAGGTCTCCCCCTATTTCTCAACGTACTAAGCTCCTGACTCTGAGTCTTTGTGCTTGCCGTCCCCTCTGTCTGCAGCGTTCTTTACGTGATCATAGGAAACATTCTTCATGTAACTACATGGCCCATCCAACCCCTCACCCAAGTCCAGCCTCTGCTCAGGTGCTCGCCGTGGCAGAAAGGCCTTACCCAACCCCCCTGAAGAACAGCACCCCTTCCCTCTCTAGTCCCTCTTGCTCTCGTTCGTCTTTCTAGTCCTTAGCACCACCTGATGTGTAGTCTGTATTCTGTATGCCCCACTCTCTTCAAACTCCATGGGAGTGTGGCCTTGTTTTACCCACTGCTCTTTCCCTGGTGCTGAAACAGTGCCAGGCAAGGAGTGAGCTGAAGGGACGCTGGGTTGTGTGCGCGGAAACAGAGGGCTCAGTTTCTGGTGAGCGTTTTTGGTTGCTGGCAAGTACTACGAAGGAGACGCTTGCAGGAGGGGGTAAAGTGCCACGTTAAGTTTAAGAGGCAACACGTGCCCCAGGGTAATTCATCCACCCATCCACAGGGCTTGATCACCAACTACAGGCTACCGATTCCCAGAATTTTATCTGCAGCCCAGGTCTTCTTACTCAACAACAGATTCACAAAGATAACTGCCTACCCAGTAGTTCCATGTGGACCCTACAACTCAGCACGTTTTAAAACTAACCAAATCCCACGTCTGACACACATGCAAATTATTCCTCCTCTGGTGTCAGATGGCACTGTTGTCCACCTGGTATCTCAAGTCAGAAATCTGGTCTTCCTCAGCCCTTCCGGCACATACCCTTACTAGGCTGCCTGCTATGCCCTATACATCTGATCTCCTGAACACCTTGAGAATGTTTTTACTCCCACCTTCCACAGTTTATGCCACTTTTCCATTCCAGGCTGCAACCATTTCCTTCCTGCTTGGTCCCTTACAATAGCCTCTCAAAGAATGATTTCTCCTTGTTAATTAACTCATGCTCTGCTGCAACACACCACTCACTCAACCTATTTAAAAACACGGAAGATTTTGTTTTCAGTACTGCCCACTTTAGACATCAGAGTGTCTAGGTCCGAAACATAAGAAAGTAACCGAAATACGATAATACTGTGGGGAAAACTCTCCAGGTTTACTTATCTGTCTCCATTTTTTTCAAAGCTGTGTTTCTCATATTTCAGCTTAATACATTACAAAACTGTCTGGAAAGGCATAGTCGTCTCTTAAAAATTTCATACCTGAATAACAGCACTAAACCAACATGTATTGCCAACATTTTTCAACCCAACTGGCCAACCATCAACTCGTCTCCAGTCATTGGGATTGGGATTTTCTCCCCAGACTTCACAACGTTTTCTCTTGGAGCGTTTAGTTTCCGCAGAGGTTGCCTCGTGCATCCTATATTGTGCCAACACACCACACATCAAAAAAGAAAAGAGTTAAACAACAATATTCTATAAGGAGGCTGTAGATAACCTTTCATAGGAAATTCAAAATGCCAGGTACACTACTAACTGGGTTATCACTGGGCGTATCATAACTTTAGTTTTAACATAAATGAAAAGTAAGGTTTAAACATAAAGTTGTTAAAATCCTTCCAAGCAGAGATTATTACCAGTAAGGCCCTGATGGAACTGAGTTGAGACTCAAGACTATTAAAAGTTTTATATTTCAATGAAAGTGCCTTATTTCAGACTTAGCATTGAAAGAGGCAAGAGAGACACTCTGCTAAAGATAAGTGCCTCCAAATTGTTTAACACACATATCATGGTCCTAAGCAACTCAGCAATAGGAGGGGATCAACGTGTCTACAAACTAAAATGCCACCCCTGGAACTGGGTTATTTGTGAACAACACCAATCACTAAATCAGTACCAATTCAAACACTATATCCCTCTAGTCACTTCTGAGAAAGGGGAGTTAATGATAACCTTCATTTTCAAATAGCCAACAACATAACTCTCAAAGTTTACAAAGGCTCAAGGTTTACAAACAGAATACGAACTCATAGACACTTAAAAAAAAAGAATATGTATTTATCAGATATTTGTACTAGTTTGGTTTCCATCTTAGCAACTGAAAATTACAAAACCTTGCAGTTTCTACTCAACTCAAAGACAGCAGGCTGCAATAACACTCTTACCATATTTAGCTTCTTGAAAAGTGAACCAAAGAGTGAGTAAGCTAACATGAATTTACATTTTCTTGTAAAAGAAGTTTCATTTAGGTGCAATTAAAGAAGCCTGGCAGAACTGTCTTTGACCTACACACTAAGGTGTGGAACAAAGATTATAAATTAAGTCAATAACCTGTTAAGATCTCTTCCATCAGTTTGAATTTTGGGGGACTCCAGTAGACTCAAAGCAATGGCAGCCTGAAGATCATCCTTGCTATCGTGAGTAAGGTCTATCACTTCTGTAAGATAAATAGAAATTTAATTAGTCTACATGCAGGAAACACTGCCTTTCTGTCTATATTGAAGGCAAAAAGGTAAAAGCAGTCACAAAATTATAGCTCTCACTACAATGGCTCATCTGTGAGAATACAACCTTATTATTCCATGCCAGAGTCCAAGTACTAGCGTACTGCCACACTGTAACCCTAAGATGAGCTAACAGCACAGTAATAACAAGCTGCTAAAGTGCAATGAATCAAATTCCCCCTTTTGCAGCCTTACTTCACAGAGTCAGAAATATATCCCATACCTGTAGTTTAAATAGTGCACTTATTGTAAAACAGCAGCTAAAAGTTAAACATTCAAAAAATGGGTACTTTCAATCTCACACAAACTACTTACATGCAGAGTACATCATGAGAAATGCTGGGCTGGAGGAAGCACAAGCTGGAATCAAGATTGCCGGGAGAAATATCAATAACCTCAGATATGCAGATGACACCACCCTTATGGCAGAAAGTGAAGAGAAACTAAAAAGCCTCTTGATGAAAGTGAAAGAGGAGAGTGAAAAAGTTGGCTTAAAGCTCAACATTCAGAAAACTAAGATCATGGCATCTGGTCCCATCACTTCATGGGAAATAGATGGGGAGACAGTGGAAACAGCGTCAGACTTTATTTTTTGGGGCTCCAAAATCACTGCAGATGGTGACTGCAGCCATGAAATTAAAAGACGCTTACTCCTTGGAGGGAAAGTTACGACCAACCTAGACAGCATATTAAAAAGTAGAGACATTACTTTGCCAACAAAGGTCCTTCTAGTCAAGGCTATGGTTTTTCCAGTGGTCATGTATGGATGTGAGAGTTGGACTGTGCTGAGCGCCGAAAAATTGATGCTTTTGAACGTGGTGTTGGAGAAGACTCTTGAGAGTCTCTTGGACTGCAAGGAGATCCAACCATTCCATCCTAAAGGAGATCAGTCCTGGGTGTTCACTGGAAGGACTGATGCTGAAGCTGAAACTCCAATACTTTGGCCACCTCATGCGAAGAGTTGACTCATTGGAAAAGACCCTGATGCTGGGAGGGATTGGGGGTAGGAGGAGAAGGGGACGACAGAGGATGAGATGGCTGGATGACATTACCGACTCGATGGGCATGAGTTTGAGTAAACTCCGGGAGTTTGTGATGGACAGGGAGGCCTGGCATGCTGCGATTCATAGGGTCTCAAAGAGTCGGACACGACTGAGCGACTGAACTGAACTCTAGAGAATAGGGAATATACTCCTCAATCCATTTTACACAGTCAACATAACACCTTGTTATGTCCCAAGCCAATCAAGGACAGTAAGAGAAAGGCAAAATGACAAACTCACGCATGATCACAGATGTAAAAAGCCTAAATATAAACAGAATCCTGCTAACACACCACAAAAGATTATATATTAAGACCAAGCTGAATTCACTGTAGAAATGAAATACTGAGCTAATGTTAGAAAAGAGACCAGTAAAACTCATTATCTAAATAATTAAAGGAAAAAATGATCATCTCAATAGATACAGAAAAAGTATTTGATAACATTCAACTTCTATCAAGGAATAAAAACTCCAAGCTAAGTAGGAAGAGAAAAAGAGTATTTTTAGACTGATAAAGAATTATCCATGGAAAACCCACAGCAGACTTTATACTGAATTGTGAAATTTCCTTTAAAACCAAGAATAGGATGAAGATGTCTCCTGTGAGGGCTTTTACTCACTGTCGCTCTGAAAGTTCCAGGTAGTGCGATAAGAAAATAAGATAAAAGTTTAAAAAATAAAGATTGCAAAGTAAGAAACAAAACTTGCAATTCACATATACAATGAAGTCCAAAATAATATACGGAAAATGGGCATAATGATTAATAAGAGGTGGTTAGATAAGCAATCAATGAACAAAAGTTAAATGAATTTCTGTACCTGAGCAATGAAATAATTTATAAAGAAAAAAATCACAAAGAACACAAAACTGATCATCAAGACCTTGTATACCAGCCCAAGAACAAATGTAAGGATCAGTGGAACAGAAGCACTGGAACTGAACTGACGGTCCAGGAATAAACCTCACGGTTGCAGTCAACTGATTTTCAACACAGATACCAAGGCAATTCAACAGAGAAAGACTATCTTTTCAACAAAAGGTGCTGGGACAATTGGATATCCACAGGCAAAAAATGACTTTTAACTTCTTCCTCACATCATTTACAAAAATGAACTCAGAGTGGATCGAGCCCTCAAGATAAGAGGTAAAACAAAACTCTTAAAATAGGTAAATCTTCATGACCTTGGATTAGACAATGGCGTCTTCCAGATGACACTAAAAGTACAAGAGTTAAAGAAAAAACTGATAAACTTGACATCATCAAATAAATATCTATGGGCTTCAAAGTATACCATCAGGATAGTGAAAAGACAACCCACAAAATGAGAGAAAAATTTGCAAATCGTGTATCTGGTAAGGGAACTATATACAGAATATATTAATTCCTGCAACTGAAAAATAAAAAGAACAACTTTAATATAATAATATATAATAGAATAATAATAAAAAAATTTTAAAACGGGCAAAGAATTTCAATGGACAGTCCTCCAAAGGAGATATACAAATGGCCAATAAGCACATGAAAAGGTGTTTCACATCATTAGCCATTAGGAAATTCAAATCAAAAACCACAATAAGATTAACATTTCACGCCCACTTGGAAGGCTAAACAACAAGTGTCAGTGAAGACCTAGAGAAGTTAGAACCTTGTATAGTGCTAGTGGCAATGTAAAATGGTGCAGTTGCTGGGGAAGCTAGAGGAATGGAGTTTGGCAGTTCTTCAAAACGTTAAACACAGAAAGTTTCATGACATTGATTTTCTGGATATGACACCAAAAGCACAGACAAAAGCAAAAATCAACAAACAGAGCTAAATCAAGCTTTGTAAAAACTTTAGAAGCATGAAAGGACACAATCAAAAGAGTGAAAAGACAATCTACAGAATGGAAGAAAATACCTGCCAATCATATATCTGATAAAGAGTTAATATCCAGAATATATACAGAACTTCTACAACTTGACAACAATAAAAGCTCTACTAATCTGATTTTAAAATAGGCAAAAGACTTGAATAGACATTTCTCCAAAGATGATGTAACATGGCTAACAGGCATATGAAAACACGCTCAGTGTCACTAATCATCAGAGAAAGTGCAAAGTAAAACCACAATGTGCTGCTATCGCCTCACATGGATTAGGATGGCCATCAAAAAACCCATAACCAGAAAATAACAAGTATTAGTGAGGATTTGGAGAAACTGGAACTCTTTGGCATTTTTGGTAGGATTATAAAATGGTGCAAATGCTACGGGAAACAGTAGAGAGGCTCCTCAAAAAATTAAAAGTAGAGCTCCCATATGATCCAGCAATCTCCCTCTGGGTATACATCAGGGCCTCAAAGAGGTATCTGCACACCCAAGTTCAAATGGCTCTATTCACAAAAGTCAAGAGGTGGAAGCAACCCCAATATCCACTGGCAGATAAATGGACAAACAAAATTTGGTACATACATACAATGGAGTATTATTCAACATTAAACAGAAAGGAAATTCTAACATGCTACAGTGTGAGTGAGCATTAAAGACCTTATACTAAGTGAAACAAGCCAGGCACAAAAGGACAAATACTCCACAATCCCACTTATAAAAGGTACCTAGAGTAGTCAAAATCATGGAAAACAGAAAGATGGAGGTTGCTAGGAGAGGGAGTAATAGGGAATTACTCTTAAATGGGTACAGGTTTCAGTCTCACAAGACAAAGAAAGAGTTCTGGAGATGGATGGTGATGATAGCTGCACAATGACATGAATGTACATAATACCAGTGAATTGTATGCTTAAAAATTGTTGTGATAGTAACTGTCATGTTATGTGTAATTTACCATAAGGAAAAAAACTGGAAAGAAAAGAAAGGAAATACTGTCACATGCCACTGCATCGATGAACATTGAGGATATTATGTTAAATGAGATAAGCTAGTCATGAAAACGTTATATGATTCCACTTATATGAGGTATTTAAAGTAGTCAAATTCATAGAAGTAGAAAGCAGAAGGCTGTTACCAGAGGTGGGGTAGAGAGAGAAAAGGGTTCCTTAACTGGAATGAAGCGTCAGATTTACAAGATAGTTCTGGAGATCTTTTACATGATAATGTGAATATACTTAACACTACTGAAATATACACTTTAAAATGGTTAAAATGTAAATTTTGCTACTGTGTTTTTACCACAACTGAAAAAAAGAATTCTAACTAATAAATTACAAGGTAATGACATATAAAATATTATCATTTTGAAATCTCCAATAAAATAAAGAATCTAAGCAATAATCACCAATGGTGGCTGGAAACACTAGGTAGGGAATTTTGTAATAAATGAATCAAGTTGACAACCTGAACACAGTAACAATTTTAACAACACAAAAAGAGGGTGACCAGACATTATTTGCTTCTTGATATGACAAAACAGGAGAAATATACACAATACTACCTATGACCCTGTCATGCTAGATAAGCACCTAAATTAACAGGAAAGACAGAGGACATAAAACTTCATATACCACAAGAATGCAAACAGCAAATTCCAGAATGCATGATACATGACAGAAAAAGAGGTGGGACTTTATAGATAAAAGGAACCTGAAAAACATTTCAAACATATTTTTTAACTTTTTTTTTTATTGAAGTATAGTTGACTTACAATGTTTCAGGTGCGCAGCAAGATGATTCAGTTATACAAATACACATATATTATTTTTGACATTATTTTCCATCATAGGTTATTATAAGATATTGACTATAGTTCCCTGTGCATACCGTAAACCTTTGTTGCTTCATGCATTATCTATTTTTTAATTAGAAATCAAGCATTCTATTCATACTAAGTCAAACAAGTGGAATCAAAATGTCATAATTTTTTTAGTTAGGCAAAAACTCATAAGTTGTTAAAAAT